TCAAATATTAGCAGGGTCACTCATAGTGGATAGGTTTCAGCGGAGCTTCCAAACTAAGACAGACTAGGAAGAAAGACATTACAGTCCACTTCTGACAAAACCAGCCACTGAAAATGTTATGAATAGCAATGACACACTGTCTGATACAGCTCTGGAAGATAAGCCCCTCAGGATGGAAGACACTCAAAATAATACTGGGGAATAGCTGCCTCAAGGATGAAAAAGTTGAAGATTTTCACCAACTTCTGCAGTCTGAAATTGACCAAACATGCAGTCAACATGTATTGATTATTACTGGTGACTGGAATGAGAAAGTGGAAATGAGAATCATAGGTATTTGGAAAATATGGCCTTGGAGATAGAAATGATGCCAGAGATCACATGATATAATTTTGCAAGAGCGATGACATAGTCATTGAAAATACCTTTTTTCAACAACATAAACAGTGGCTATACACATGCACCTTACCAGATGGAATATGCAGGAATCAGATTGACTACATCTGTAGAAAGAGGCAAAGGAGAAGCTCATTATCTTCAGTCAAAACAAGGCCAGGAGCTGAGTGTGGATCAGACCATCATTGCTCATACACAAATTCAAGATAAAGCTGAAGAAAATTACAACAAGTCCACGAAAGCCAAAATATGACCTTGATTATATCCCACCTGAATTTAAAGATCATCTGAAGATGAGATTAGATGCACTGAACACCAATGACTGAAAACCAGATGAGTTGCGGGATAAAATTAAGAACATCCCACATGAAGAAAGCGAAGAGTTATTAAAAAGACAGAAAAGGAAAAAAGACCAAAATGAACATCAGAAGAGACACTGAAAGTTGCTCTTAAATGGAGAGCAGCTAAAGCAAAAGGAGGAAATAATGAGATAAAAGAGCTGAACAGGAAATTTCAAAGAGCACCTTGAGAAGACAAAGTAAATTATTATAATGAAATGTGCAAAGACCTGGGGTTAAAATACCAAAAAGGAAGAACACACCCAGCATTTCTCAAACTGAAAGAAGTGAAGAAAATATTCAAGCCTTGAGTTGCAATACTGAAGGATTATAAAGGCAAAATATCGAATGTTGCAAGAAGTATTGCTGTGCAGTGAGTTGCATGGTATAGCTTTTCTATATCACGATTATTGGGTATCGGATTAGTAGGTGTGACCAAGCAAATATCCGTCAACTTCACTGGGTAGCTGGTGGTAACTATTTCCTATAAGACTG